GAGTGATGGAGCCAGTTCAGAGATGGGGATTACGAGGGGGATTGTGGTCCAGGGGTAACACCCCTGCAGCTGAGCTCTGTGCTCAGAGGTGCACGTATTGTCCCAGCGGGTTCCCGGGTACTGTCCAACCCGGGCGAGGGCTGGCTGTCTCTCCGGCTCAGTCTTGTCTTCGAACACGAATGCAGCGCACTTTATTAGCACAGCCCCGATGGGAAAAACCTACACTGTAAGCGCTGTACAGGTAATGGGGATCCCCTCCACCCCCACCTGGATGATGCACCAGTCTGCTCCCCACACACCAGCTCTCAGTGGGGAGGAGAGCAGAGTGATGAAGCCAGTTCAGAGATGGGGATTATTAGGAGGCCATGATGGGTAAAGGCCAGGGGGAAATTTGGTCAGGACACCGGGGTAGCACCCCTACTCTTTTCAAGAGACACCCTGGGATTCTTAATGACCACAGGACCTCAGTTTTACATCTCATCTGAAAGTTGGGACCTTTTTACAGTATAGTATCCCTGTCACTATACTGGGGCATTAGGACCCACACAGACTGCAGGGTGAGCGCCCCCTACTGGTCCCTCTAACACCTCTTCCAGCAGCAGCCTCAGCTTTCCCAGGAGTCTCCCCTCCAGGTACTGGCCAGGCTCACACCTGCTGGGCTCCAGTGGGGCTGCCAGCTGGGAGCTGCAGGGTGACAGAGCTGGTCTCTAGAGCACAGCAGTGGAGGAGCTCAGCTGCAAAGCAGATCTCAGGGCACAGTGTTCCTCCAGGGCCAGAGTTGGGAGCCCCTGATGTAACCCCAATGGGCTGAGTCGCACTGTAGTGTGGAGTCACAGCTTGGGGGGGGTGTTGGGTTCAAAATCCAGGTGTGGCGCAGCTGTAGTACTCTTGAACTCAGTCTCCTTGAATAAAAAGGGTGAGGCAAATGACTGAGCGCATTGAAGTGATTTCCAGTCGTGTACCTGTGAGACAGACCCTGTCCTGTCCTGCGCTCTGTTTGCTGAGAGAGTGTGCAGGCAGGCTGGCGCTCGATAGGTGAAACACCGAGTCCGTAGAACCACATCATGGGAAACATAATCATATAGCAAAATTAAACTGCTTTGTCTCTTTCTCAGTGTTGAAAGCAGAAGGGTGTAAAAATACTCAGTGCTGCTCCAGGTGTATTTCAGTCAAGATGAGCCGCCGCAGGCGTGTGGCATAGCTGTGTTACCAGTATAGCATGCACAGGCTGCAGAGGCACAAGTTCATGCCTTATTCCTGCTGAGAAGACAAGAAAGAAAACACAGCGCTCTTCACGCCCGAAGAAGGATGCTCAGCCGAAACGTCGTGTTTCGTTCCTTCTCTTTTCAGCCTGGAATTAGCCGTGAACTGGCTCCGTAGCCGCGTCATTGCTTCCCCGGCCGCTATCTGGATCAGGGATGGCGCGCTGAGCTCCCGGTGGACTGGGAGTCCGCTGGGAGTCGGCTCACCCTGAGCAAACAGGCAGACGAGCAGGGTTATTTCTGGTTTGAGCGGACCTGCACAAATACCCGCGGTCTGTTTTTACGAGAAGGAAGAATGAAAAGCCTAACCTGGAGAAGTGGGCTGAAATATGCGTTTTTTTTAAGGGGGGACGCGTGAAGACACACGGGCCCCGCGTCCCCCTCCCCACACACAGGCACCAGCCCAGTCCGGCAGGCCAGCTCTGCTCTGCGCTGCGCTGTGCTGGTGGGGGGGGGGCGGAAACGTCACAGCCAGGCAGCCCGTGCCAGCGCCCGTCTCGCGCTCTTGGTTTTCCTCGTTCCCCTGAGCCGCGGCTCGTGGCAGCGAAGGGGGGTGGCGAGTTCTGCTTCATTGTGTGTTGATCTATCTTGCTCCTACACGCTGAAGTGTTTTTTTT